GACCGCATTTACAAAAAAACACTACTTAAATTACTCAATTTTTAAATAATTTATATTTTTTTTTAATTTTTAACATTTTATCCAGGTCGAAGTATTTATTCGAAATTTAGGCGACAACCGAATGGCAGAAAGCACTTTAGTCAATAGTAGAGAGGATATCAATGAGGAAATGATGACTAACACCCAAAAAATGGAATCACGATCAAATAAATCAACATTGACTGATTGTTTTAGCATAAAATCCAAAACGTCAGGTATTCATTTTGTTCGGGATCGTTTTTATACTTAAAAAAACATTCAATGTATTGTGGTGATGGCATGTAAAATACTTTGTTTGAACCTTAGTTGAAAAACTTCTCGTCTTTTGCATTTTACAACGTAAATGAATGTATTTTACATAGGTACCAACGGTTGATGTAACCGTAACGCCTTTATAGACACGCAATTGCTCACCACATTATGGTAATATAATTCTCATCATTAAATATTTTCTATTAATTTCAGTGCACAATCGTAATCAATTACTTAATGACAAGGCATATAAAGGGTTGCAAATTTTTCCACAGAGTCTCTCCCAACAGGAGCAATTCAGAAGCGGTAAGTGTAAACTTTAATTCTTATTATTATCGGCCGTGATGACGCTCGTGCCACATCAATTTTATAAATTGTTTTGTGAATTTGTTAATTTGTAAACATTTTTAACTAAGTCTTACTAAGTCAATTCAAATTGTGCTATGTGGAGTGTGTAGCATCTATATTGTGCATCTGGGTATGCTTTGACAAGATATTGAATAAAAAAAGAGACATTTTCGGTGATTTGATTGGTCGAAAGTTTCATGCCACGTTGTCAAAGCTCATCAATGGATGGATTATACAAAATTCATGAGAAATGTAAATATTTTAAGACATTCTTGTCTGGATAAAGACGTTTTTCAAATTTATAAAACAAAAATCTGTCTCTTTCTTACTGTAAAATTAATATAGACGCAGAAAATAAACGATTTGGGAAAAACCCATTGGAACCGTTTGAAAAATGTATATATAATCTTTTTATGTCTTTTGAGATAATTTTTGTGATATGTCAAAATGAGGTGTTCCAAATCGTTTTTTTACGACCATTGAAAGTATAGGGAAATATATGTGTCGCTAAGAATGAAAATGTCCATAAGTGAGAGCAAGAGAAGTGATCTTTTAAATCCCATTCATTCTTAAGGGCACATATCATGTCACACTGAAAGTACCGTGTCTGGCCTTGTGATTGAAAGAAAAGTAGATTGAAAGGTATTGATTGGGATTTGGTACATTTATTTGCAATAAATAATTTTAGGCGATAAATTTATGAGATATAAAAAGGGAGAAATTTCAACAAAAATGGTGGCTCTTCAAACTTTACTCTACTTTTTTCCAATGAAGGCATACAAAATTCAACGAAATGCTTACGATTTATCGTCAAAAACTATTATTTATTGGTAATAAAGAATCAGGCGCTCAGCGACAAAATATTTACACTGTCAATCACAACAACAATAACATTGTTTACAATAGGCTATGTACGTTTGACAGTGGATTTGGCCGCCTGGTTCTATATTAGATCTCAATCAGCGTTAAAACGAGCTTTACTTCTTAGTTTATATAATGCAGTGACATATAGTCTACCATAAAACTTTCAATCGTTTCCTCTAAAATTTTATAAAATGCATCCACCCTCTTCAATAAACATTTTTAATGGAATAAAAAGAAATATTCATTCCGTTCCAATACTGAGATAAAATCACATTGAACTGTAATGAAAGTAATAATGAACAACGAAGGCTATACACAAGGAACTCTATCAATTTTATTACATATGACTTTCTTTTATCATTTCAAGAAGGCTTGTGAGGTGGATGAATCGTAAAAACACATTAGACAGCACGTCATATCAATAATAATTGATTTGAGTTTATTTGCGATTCATGCGTTATCAGCGATTATCAGAGACTGTTTTTCAGAGCAACATATGTAAAGCTCTGAGGAGCCTCAGTCAGGAGCAAAATGTTAAAAGTGTAGAGAAATATTTCGAATGAATAATATTAAAATTTTAGATTCAATGCCGGAACGTTTACCGAAAATACTTTTACCTGAACGAAAATTCGGTGCCGGTATTCTAACATATAATTTCGATTGGAAAAAACAATTGAATCCATTGTTTCATATACAAAACAATAATTCCGGACGAAATTATTTGGCTAGAATAGCGCCACTGGAAATCTTGTTATGGTTGGAAAATTCTGGTTTTTGAATTTTCAATTGATCGAGAAATTTAGACTGGTCACTGCTCCTTAGGCTCCTCAGAGAAAAAGTATATATGCGTTATATATCAGCATTTTACATGCATTTGATAAAAAAAAGTTTTGTGCATTATGGCATTAACATTAAATGCAGACATTAAGCATTTGAAATAGGGCAAATTTCATCTAATAACTGTAAAACATTATGCATGGACAATGGACACCCACCATGGTGGTAGACACGACCAAGTACAGGATAGAATTACAAAAGAAAAAAAGAAGGAAAATTCATGAAACACAATAAATTATAATGAATTATAATGATGAAAATGTTGCGTGGACTGGCAGCTTTACATCGCATCACGCTTAACATGAAACGTTTTCATTATAAATGGATATTAGATATACAGAATTTCTTCGGTACGAAAGAAAAGTATAAGTTGTTGTTTGAAAAAACAAAAACTTTGAAATTGTATGACAGAGTGCTTAAAAAAGAATCTACTAAATACGAACAATGAATAATAAGTGCATAACAGACAAATTTCCTCCAATAATTGATTTATACAAATGACGATCAATTTAAATTATAAAGCCAAATATAATTTTCAAACTTATCTACAGTTTTTTTCGCATCATAAACGTAAATAAGCATAAATCATTTGTGTGTGGTAAGGATTGTGTAGCGAAAATGTTTTAGTTTCATTTTTATTTTACCATGTTAAAATAGAGTTAGACTTCGATAATTAAAATTCCATTAATTTGAATTGGGAGTGTCGACGAAGCGAGGGGGAAACCACGGATTCTAATATGTGCTAATTTTTTCTAATATTTCTAGTAAAACGCCATATGACATGTACATTTGACATCTTTCTAATATGTTCTAGTTTTTCTAGTATCGAGTTCGTGGGTAACCCCAAGCGACGAAGTGAATCTAATATTTCGAATTCCAGGTTCAACTGTACATCTAAACCTAAAATCAGTATCAGTAAATCTAAGAGATAGCTGAACGCCATCAATCAAGATATTTATATAATTAAGGATCCGTATCTGATTCGATTTGATTAATTTTTTTGCCTTCAGTGTGTTTCATATAATGCTCGATTTCAAGTGGTTTTGTAGATTAAAAATCAAATTGTACAATGAACTACGCTTTAAATTGTTTTAGCCCTGATGAGGAATAAAAACATATTCGAAACGTTGGCATAAACGAAATAACAAGTCGTTTGGCTTTCAATGACTGAAAAAATCCATCAACTTTTGAACGTATCTGATTCGGTTTCTATTTGCATTCTATCGATAAAAATAGTTTCGTTATAATTTTGCGGTGCAAACAAATCGTCATCGACATGATGCTGGATGTGAATTCACCTCAATCATACTGGTCCCCTACGTATCCATTTTACGGAAATTACACATCCACAATAAAAACGGATGATTTATTTTCTGCTATAACATCAAACCAAACTCGGTTCAGCCATCCATATTATTGTTGTGAAAACATACCCACACAATTTGTTCATCTTACCTGTGATTGTCATTAATCTGTGATGTCGTATTAAGCATTGTTCCTTAATAGCTCTGCAATCAGAAAATGTGTGCCATGCATCAATGCTTCCGATTGTATATCGTCATTTATATATTGCATGTTTAGGAGAGGATGGTGGTGGTGGTGGCAGCGCACTGATGAGTATTCCAAACATTATCTAACTGCCTTTCTCTTACTTTTGCCGCATTGTAAAGCACAAAACAGCGGGTAAACCAAACAATTTCTTTTTTTGGGGGGGAGTGTGCAAAAACGTACGCGTCCGCCGATAATAAGCTACAACATTCAACGGATCATATACGATATGAAAAATCCTTTGGGATATACGACGTACGTCGTACTTATATATAGAAGTGTGTATTGTATATGGAATGTAACAAGCAACAAATAAGAGCTTTTTTATCTAATTCTCCCAATAAAGCAACACAGTGAACGATGAATCGTTTAAAATAGATCCAATCAAAGTACGGGATACATTGTATCCGTCTATGTGTATATACGGTGCGATTTCAAATACACATCCAGGCAGAAGAGATAGGGAAAATGCGATATTATCCAGTTTGTCAATATATTGAATAAAATCTTTAGAACAACGTATCTAAACCATGTGTCACAAATATAAACATTGAAAAGCTTTAAGTCAAACTTTTCGACGAATAATTATGAAAATCGCTTTACATCAAATGCAACGACGAAAACATTTTGTCGAATTGCGAGTGGTAAAGCTCATGAAATTATTCAAATCAGTTCGATTTTAAGCAACAACGCTAAAGATTTTCAATAAACGCATATTTTGTTGGTTTGCTCGCTTCGCGATCAGCACGAGCACATGGCATATTCATTTATTTTCCCAAAGAATACGCATCAACCAAAGCAGTAAACATACAGTGTGGTTTGCGAACGCATTGAGTACAGTGTAATGTACCGAAAATGTATAAAGTATGTGTACAGGGCATGTGATGTATCGCGTATATTCTTTGTTGATGTGACTTAGATTCTTGTGTCGCGCACTCATTCTTGGTGTGTATATGGGTACAAAGTATATGGAAGGGACCTGTGTGTGCCATTTTATCAAATGACCAAACCATTTATACGACACGTAACACGGAGATAATAGCATTCGGCGCGCACGTTCCTTATATACACACATTTCATTCAAATGGGTTTTCAGTTTAGTTTGTGCACTTGATCCGTAAGCATCATTTTTCGCGTACAGTATATATAATTTGTTATTTGGTTTTGCGAAGACGGTACGGTGTTCGCGTGTTTCTATTGCTTAATTTTTGATTTTTATACACACAGTTGTTTTTTTGTTTGTTACGGTCTGTTTACATTTCAAAAAAAAAACAGAGACAATTGTGAAATGAGTTTTCATTTTCTATTTGAGTTGGGGTTTCTTTCTTCAATTTTCGGTAAATTGTTCGAATTAACGAAAAACTGATACGTATATACAAAGCAAACATATCTTCACAGTTTACGAGAGAAATAATTGAAAGACGCAGATTTTAGCTGAAGTTTTTTTTCTCGGTTATTTGTTTACACAAAAAGAAGAAATACGCGAGACGGGCTTTTTGGATTATAATAAAATTGATGAGTTTACCAATTAGAGCAATTTCATGCACCGGGCAAATGCTAGAAATGTTTGTAATAAAATCACGAATAAACTGAGTGAATTCAACGAGCATTTTGTTTTATATCATTTTCGCTGTATCGAGTGAACGAAACGAAAAATATAAACACACACATACACACACATCAAGTGTGCTTAGTTAATATTTGGGGTTCGGCAACGAAAACATTTCTTCAATTAAAGTGCATCAGGATTATTCGATCAATTACGCTTCATCGAAATACCCAAGCATTTTACTGATAAACGCAATAAAAACACCGATGGGTAAATACATTCCTTTTATTAATTAATTCTTTTTGTTTTTGTAAATATGCAAAACAGGTACATCGATAGAATAACATATACTAGAAAATCATTGAGTGATTGCATTTCGACGTGAGTTCTTGAGTCTATAAAAAAACATCAATTTAACAGAACAAATGAATTCACTGATAACAAATGAACAATTCAAAAACGAAATTGAATATGCAAATATCAATATATGCAATGGCATCCAACGGTATGCTACACAAGCGCTTATTTTCATCATATATGTATAATATTATTGTATTCACACAGAAAACGAAGAAGAAAATAAACAAAACAAACATTCCGCGCATCAATTAGCAGTGTTCGCATTAGAGATATCACTGAATCTCCACAAGCAGAAAATTAGCTCACTTGTGAATTGTAATTTTTCTTATCTAATGTGTGCCTGTGCTCACACGCTCATTGTATTATACTGAAACGGCAACCAATGTAACAGTCACAAGTTGAGTCCGGTTGGTTTTTGTGTATTTGTACATTTAGAACGTAGAAAAATTGAAAGAGAAAAACAAACGTCATTGACTCTGTGAGAGATCCCAAATAAATAGTCATATAAATTGACTCCGGCAAAAACATTCAATTTATTATTATATTTTAAGAACGTATCGACTTTGGTTCGGTCGGCATTTAATTCATCCGATTTGCTACAATTTAATTTTTTTCACGTCTCTATCCCTCTATCGGCGTGCGCCATTTGCGTTTGCTTCACTTTCTAAACACGTACCACACATATAAATGATGATATTGGTGGCTTCAGTGCATCTTTATATTTCATTTAATTGAAGCGCATAAACGCGGTTCGTCATCATTGTCAGATACAGCTACGTTGTCGTTGTCGTCGCCCTCAGTAAATATACGGCCACGAAATCCCATTAAAAACGGAAAAACTCATCAAAACACCATTAAGAATATAAAAATAAATAATAAATAGAAAGAAAATGAGTGATAGTAGTTACAGAAAATTGAATTGACATCTACATTGACAAAGAATGAGAGGGGGGAGAACCAAAAGGCTATTGTCATAAAATAACATTTCCTTAGTGCTGAATTAATTGAGCGCTAAATCGTGATAAACGTTTTAAGATGCAGTGAAGAGCAAGAAATGCCATACCTATAAAATGTGTTATCGACACAATTTTTAGAATCGCCGCCACATTGCATTTTATTTACTTACCGCACCTTACCGCATCTTTACGCTTATCTAAAATAAGATGCATATTGTTGTTGTTTGTAAGTTAATAAAACAGCCCATCGGTAATGAGCCAGTAAATTTTAACAACAAAAATGAGCTGTTGAGAAATGTGAAACTTTCGACACAAGTTGAATACAATCACAAACTAAAAGTCCGAACAAACTAAAAGTTGTTCGTAAGTTATTATCACCACCACACACCTCCTTTCCCACCTTACGGCCACGAACAAATATAGATTTGAAAATAACTTGTTGTTATCTATATGGTATCCTTTATTTGTCTCTAGGCATGAGTACCCAGCATGAGATTTCACATACTAATTGGGGGTACGATACCTTTGATTTGTTTTTATGCAAAAAGTTCGTTGCGAATATGACTCGCTGTCCAAAAAAGAACATTTTTATCATTTTGAATATGCTTGGTAATCAATGGACCCATTCTTGAAATGTGAGCTTATATATCAAATGTTTGAAAGAAATGTTGTCTGATCGACTTTTAATCCATTGGCTATTATTAATTATAGAAATGAAAATGTGGCTCAGGGACATAAGTGCCCGGACGGACGGACAAAAACAGTTAAAGTATATTACGTACGTACGGTCAAAATGTCCGTACAAACACGAGCGACATTAGTGCCCGTACGGATGGCCAATTCTTTTTTTTTTTTGTGCAACTATAGAAATGAACATATATATTTTTTAAAAATTCTTTGGAATACGTACGTACGGTCAAAAATATGTTCATGCGAGAAACATATCTAAACGTATTTCGTTTCGTATTTTGTTGATATAATAGTTTTTTATATTGGGCGTAGCGTCTGGTCTTTTTCTATAGTAAATTTATCAAAAAAATTATTATATACGCCGCAAATTCTAAAAACGATATAACAGTTTTTGCTATAGAATTTTTTTTCAAAAAAATAAATTTATACGTCGCAAATTCCAAAAACGATATAAAAGTTTTTTCTATCGTAAATTTTTCCAAAAAATTTCAAATAAATTACTCCCGGGGTACAGATATTTACCGGCATTAAAATTGTAATGTTACTAACCATTACATTAACATAAATGTTTGTAATAGCTACTACAATTGTATTAGATATTACTGTAATGCTAAAAATCTGACATTACAATTGTAATAGCATTACAGTAATGCTTCGTTACAATAACAATGTGTTAAAAATATAACATTAATATTGAGACTTTTAAACACAACTTTAAGTTGAAAATATATTTACAATAGATGGCGTTTGTGACTGCTCTAAGCTCATCATTGAAATTGATCTAATCTATCTAATTGAGTAATCTATTTACTCCCCGAGAGTAATCTATTTTCTCCCAGGGAGTAAATAATTTACTATAGAAAAAATAAGTATATCATTTTTATCAATCAAAATAAATTTGTTCCCGGAACAAAATCTAATATAGAAAAAACTATTTATATAGTCATTTATTTATTCCCCGGTAGTAATCTATTTACTCCCCGGGAGTCATTTATTTACTCCCCGGGAAAAAACAAGTATATCATTTTTTTCAATCGAAATATAGAAAAAATATTATTTCGTTTTTAGAATTTGCAACGTATAAAATTATTTTCTTGGACAAATTATGTATTATAGTTATTCTATTTACTCCCCGGGAGTCATTTATTTCAGAGTATTGCTCAGCGCTGCTGCCATCCACAGCATATTAAAATATCTTGCTGAGAATGCGTCGTCCGTCGCATGCGAAGGTACGTGGCAGTTTTTACATCACAGTGAACAAAAATGTATGCATTGTTCTCTTCACGATTATGTGACTCAAAACATTCAAACGATTGATTAGAGAACAATGCATGTATTGTTGTTCGCTGTGATATAAAACTGCTACCTACCTTCGCATGCGACAGACGACGCATTCTCAGCAAGATATTTTAATATGCTGTGGATGGCAGCAGCGCTGAGCAAAACTCTGATTTATTTACTCCCCGGGAGTAATTTATCTACTATAGAAAAAACAAGTATATCATTTTTATCAATCGAAATAAATTTGTTCCCGG